TGTGGCCACATGCATGGTATTACAGCTGGTATTGTGGAATCGAAAACTTAAAAATCCCCATTAGGAGTAAGAATTTGCTCTCCCATTACTTATCTTGCTACTCCTGTTGATGCAAGATAGAAGAGACGCATAGGCCAGAAGCAATAGTTTTAAAATAGCAGCAGCAATCACAAAGGAAATCAGAGCCGATAATTTAGAGATATGTATTACAGGCATCTTCCCAGGAGGGTGCCCTGATGAACTCCTAACCTCCTGCAACAGGCAGCCTCTTTGTCTTAACAATACACACACACACAAGCTGAAAGCACAAAGAAACAAAGGCATAGGTTTCTATGCCCTATTTATATTTTTCTCTCTTTGACCAGAAAGCAAAGTAGAATCTTGGGTTTGAGCGGAGTGGGAGAGTCAGTGCTTAGCAAATGGGAGTCCTTGGGTTTAATCTCTAGTGTGAAAACAGAAAGGAATAAAAGGGAAGGAGGAAAAAGAATCACTCTGCAGATATTCATTTATATACCAAAACACTGACCAGGAGTCAACACTTAGCTGTATTTGTGTCAGAAATGAAGTCTTTAAAGTGAAATGCCATTGTTTCCCTCCAGAGTCTTAGCTTCTGAAGGCCCCTCTCTGAGGAGTGTGTCGGGGATACTTCTCACTAAGCACTTCAGAGCTGACTGTGTATATTTACATATGCTTTTTATACATTACAATAATGTTATGGTACCACCATAACATACACTACTTAGAGAGTTATTTTGTATCTTTTAACAACTGGTAGCATAATGGATTGCAACTGGCTTTTTCTCAGTCAACATTGTTTTTAATATTTATCTCCTAATATAAATAGACCTAATTCATTAATTTGAAATGTATTAAACAAATGCTTTTTGAGTGGATAGGACAACTTACTCTTCCATTGATATTTCCATAATTTCTAATTTTTTAATTAATTTATTTTTTTATGTGCATTAGTGTTTTGCCGTGGGTGTCAGTTCCTCTGGAACTGGAATTACAAGCAGTTTCGAGCTGCCATGTGGGTGCTGGGAACTGAACCTGGGTCTTCTCGAAGAGCAGTCGGTGTTCTTAACCACTGAGCCATCTCTCTAGGCCCCTCTAATTCTTTGCTGTTCCAAACAGTTCATCAATGAATGCCTTCGAAACCATCTCCTGAATTCAGCAGAATTTCACTGGGGTAATTTCCTAGATGTGAAATTGCTAAACCATGGGAAATAACCATTCTCAAATTTATTGAGATATTGTCAAAGTGCCATCCAATGTGGCTGTGCTGTAGTATACTTCACTTTGGCAATAGGGGAACTGGCTTTTACATAACAAATACTAAATGATACATTCTACACTTCAGAGTCTCCATTACAGAATTTACCCTCACCCACCCTGACCAGGTGTCCTATGTTTCTTCTCATGCAGTTCTCCTACCTTGAGAGTTATTTGCTTCACCTTAGAAAAGAATAGAGAAAATATTAAAATGCTGTTCATTTTCATTCAGAATAAAGGTGTCATTTCTGGCAAAACTATGCTGCGGTAGGTGTTTTTGCAGAATGAATCTTTTTCCTAATCTAAAGTTAACACTCAAGCTTCTATGCTCTCCCATTGAATGAATAAACAACTTCTGACCTTTCCAACATTTTCACAGGTCCTAGGGGAGTTGTCTAAACACTTTGAGCATTTAAAAAATTTCCCCTGCTTATTTAAAATCTTTTGAAAGATAGATAATAAGAACCAGTGATTCCAGGACTTGGCATAGTTCGTCTCCCAAATTCCTTGTGTTTGGGGTGCCTATCAGGTATCCATCTTAAAATTTCATGTTAATGTCCTGCAAATATGGGTGTCAGTTCAACCTCTGAAAAACAACTTCCTGTTCTTCTTGCTGTAACTGCTACTCTGGGCTGTCTCAGTCAATGCATCTCACTGGGAGTTCCCTTTAGCTTCTTTCTGCCTAGAAGAGGATGGCTGCAGTCTGAGAGAGAAGCTACATACAGATTTTGTTTCTTAACCGAGCTCTTCAACAAAGCTAACTAACCATAGTGAATAACAAAGTGCACATCTGTAGCTATGTCTCTTGGAGATGTCTTTAGTTTCTGCCTAGCACTCAACATTTCACACCCCTCTTCCCATTTTATGCTCTTTGTGCTAAGGAAAGAACATAGGCATCAAAATTTTCTGGCTCATTTTGGCTCTTGCAAGAAAGGCTGCATTCAAATGTTGGCTCTTAACAGTGCAGACCACAAAGAGTGCTGGGCTGTCTGGAGACAAGTGCAAAAGCCGAGTTCTGGGCTCCCAGTAACCACCAAGGAGATGCTTGTCATATCAGTATAGGAAGCCCCTTTGAGGGACCCCACATGTGTTGTACAACCGGAAATGTATACAATTTGTGAAGGTTTTCCCTCTGCCCCAGGTGTTGTGCATGAAGGTATAGTTAGATCTATATTTTAAGGTTTACACTGGCAATAACTTAGATAATGCCTTAGAGATCCTATAAAGAAGATGGGTTAAGGGCCTCTTGCCCCATTTCCAATGGGAAAGGAAGTTATCTAGAATGCTAAGAGTGGACAGGGAGAGTTAAATGCACCTACGAGCCATTAGGAAGGAGATGTGCTTGGGTCTGGTGGTAGCTGTTCTTTGAAATTTGAGAGCAGAGTCAAGGCTAGACGAGTGCCTTCAACCCTAAGCATGCAGTTAGGAGATTGAAGAAAGTACACAGCATCATGACAGTTTTATGTGAAATATTGCAATCAGGATTGGCCAAAGCCTGGAAGCCTGGCCTAGTGTCACATGCTGCTCTACCTACAGGGTTACTGTCACTTGCTGCTGAGGATCCTGGCTGGGAGCAGTAAAGAGGACTGCTGTGCACATTTCTTAGTATGTTTTGTAGTAATTATTGCCAGCAGCCTTTAGGCAAGATGTCTTTGTAGAAAAGGGAAAAAAAAAGTTTCATCAAAAAATTTTATTCCTCTAATTATCAATAGTGGTGTTGAGGTGCAAGATAGTTTTGTTCAATCTGACTGGTGACAGCAGTCTTAGTGGTGAAGTTTTTTAAAATGTTGCTTTACTGACTGCCTTTAAAAAAAGGAAAACAACAAAAACAGTGTAATGTAATCTAAATGTGAAGTCTCTCTTTAGCTTGCTGCTCAGCAGATGCGCCTACCATGTAACATGTTTGCATTTTCTGTTGCTTTCCCAAAGCAAGTAATTGGAAGAAGTATTTAGCCCCAACTGTAACACAGTCTGGGGACCTTTTCCTTCCTTTCAGATTGAGTTCATTATCAGCCATGATCATCCTGGTATGGCTATCAAGTCTTAAATTCACAGATGATTGTGTTTATTGGATTAATGTTTGCCTTTTATTGGGGGGCAGTGGAGAGGTTGGGGAAGGAGCTAGAATATCAGGAAGGGCTGGGAGAGTATTCAGTTGCTTTAAAATAATGGGTGGAAGTAAAAGAGAAACTCTCAGAAGCAGCCCAGGGTCCTCTGATTTCGCATGAATGGTCACACAATGAGGTTTCCTCTGGAAGATTTGTTTTGAATGTTTACTTGGATAAGAAAAGTGGGAGGGCTCAGAAAAGAGGTGTATTTTCTCAGGATGCTCTGCAGAACCTGTCAGCAACTCTCAGGAGGCTGTACTGATGCTATTCAAAATATACTTGCTTCTTCCAGTGTCCTTCTAAGGTTTGTAGTCCTAAGAAGCTATTTGTGATTTGTGTATGTGCATGTGTATGTATGTATATGTGCAGCGGTGTGTGTGTGTGTGTGTGTGTGTGTGTGTGTGTGTGTGTGTGTGTGTGTGTGTGTGTGTTCATGTGTTCACTTGTCTGTGAGTACATGTGTGCATGTGAGGGTGGAAGCCATAGGTTAACCTCAGGTGTTGGTCCTCAGAGCCATCTACCTTACTGGAACCTGGAACTTTTCATATGGCAGGCTGATAGGCCATCAAGCCCCAGAGGTCTGCCTGGAACTGGATTACAAGCTTGAGCTACCATACCCAGCTTTTCGTGTGGGTGCTGGGGATTTAACTCCGGGCCTCACATTTCTGCAGGAAGCACATTACCAACTCAACTATCTCCCCAAACTCCCAAGGAACTATTGAACTGCCTTGTGCTTCTGGCAGCCTCAGTCTAGGGAAATCTTAGAGAATCACTATTTATCAGATAAGTAACTGCCTTGTCTCCTGCTCCTGAACAGCATGTCACACAAAGTTCTGACTCACCATATGTCTAGCCAAGTTGCTCGAATAAGGATTTTGTTGTCCTGTGCTTGTTGACTGGTTTGAAGTGGGTTTTCTTTTCTTTTTCCTATCTTGAGGAATCTGCTAGGGTTGACCTAAGGCAATGATGATGAAAGTGACATTGCTTGAGACATATAAACTCCATAGGAGACAGCTGTTTTCCTCTTTCCCTTTCTGGGGATGTTTTGGGATGACCCTTCCCATAAGGGTTTCAGAGACCTATATCTCCTGTGAGGAGACAGTCCCTTTATTCATTTTTGTACCAGTCCTCTACAGTCTTATAATTTCCCAGCTGCTTTTTGCTGGGGGTCACCCAGCTCGGTGGATGGACAGTGACTGCCTTCCTCGGATGCTTTGGAATAGTTGAATGATGGAGTCTGAGGGCCTTTTATGTGCTTGTTCCAATCATGTCAGTGAGGCCTCTCCTTTCAGCTTGCTTTGTTTATCCAGCAGCTCATTATTTAAGACTAGCCTGTCAAAGTAGGTTAAATATTCTTTGGGAAATATGGTCACATCCTTGAGAGACCACAACTATGTTTAATACAGAGAAGATTGGCTTGATAAGAGAAACGTGATCGACTTGCTTCACCAAAACATATTTTTCTGTTACCCTGGCTGAGTTTCCATTGCCATCAATAGGTACTAGCAAACCCCAGGACCATAAATCTCTGCAGCTGACATGGAAAGACACCAAGGGAAACAGGGAAAATGATTGCTGATGATTCGTTCTAACTACTTGACCTTCTGACCTCTTCTCTAGATCTATGATCAAGATGGGACACTACAGCACTTTATTGATGGTGGGGAGCCTAGTAAGTCGAGCTGGATGAGGTATATCCGATGTGCAAGGCACTGTGGAGAACAGAATCTAACAGTAGTTCAGTACAGGTAAAGTATGTCTTGATTTACCCCTGGAGCCCTTTGGCTTGCACATACAAATTCAGGCTTGGGGCAAGGAGGTTGAAAATATCCTGCAGAACTCTGGGGAGATCTGTTTTTTGTTTGCTGGGTTTCTGAAATGCCTTAGTTCCAGGGGCCAGTATTTCCTAGACATTCCGAAATAAAGGCACTAGCAGATGCCCTCTTTGACTCTGTACACAGGCTGAAGTTATCACTTGAATGTCCATATGGACCCAAATGAGATTGGCAGCCCCACTGACTTGAGGTTAATCTGCCACCAGATGGGAACACACACACATGTAAATGGAAGCTTGGGGACTCAGTTCCAGATCTGTTCCTTTCATTCTCCCTCAGTCTGTTTCTCAGAGAGAGAATAAGGTTCACTTGCACAAAGGTCTGGAAAGCCAAGAGCTCAATCATCCAAAACCGGCCATGCTCAGCAGTGGGACTGAGCCGTGGTGACCTTTCCTGCTCTCTCAAAAGATTCCAGAGCATCTGGGTCTGGTGCTTTGATGATTTCAGCTGTGCTCCAGGTGATGTAGGTGTTTCAAGTCGAGAAAAGAAGCCTCTCCCCGCACCCACTGGGCAGAGCCCAAAGGGTGACAGATCCAAGGAAAGATATCCTCACTTCCCAGAGTCACACAGGGAAGAAGCACAAAGCCACCCACCCCTCCTCAATGCACCTGCCGCCCCCACCCCCTGTTCCTAAGGAAGGCAGGAATCAAGATGAGAAGGCAGAAACAAATCAAACAGAAAAACAGCCCCACCACTAAGCCTTCTTCTCTTAGAATCCCTGGAAAACATGTGCCTTATAAATATATGAGCTCAGTTATAAACAGCCGTGTTCCCTTCAGAGTCAGAAGCAACTGTTTAGCTTTATTGGGCACCACAGACACATCAAAGCCGAGAGCCTGTGCTTGGCAACTTGGAGTTCTGCCTGGGGCTATTTATTTTCCTTTTTTTTTTTTTTTTTAAAGTGAAGTCTTTTTAAAAAAATTTTCTTTATATTTTAGAGGGTGCACAGATCTGGCTTGCTTGCTCTCTGAAGGTCTCCAGTTCTAAAAAGAACATACTTGGGCAGTGTCTGACTCATTGCCTGGGTTTCCCACACAATTTTATTAAGTAATGGTTTTCATGAAATAATGGAGGAGACTGTTGGTAAAACCAGGGCAAACCTGGCAGTGTGCACAGCAAATTTGCTATCATGGATTTTTTAGGCAACCCTGAGTTCCACAATTAGCAAAGGCTGTGCTTTTCTAGTCAGCAAGAGATAGTTTGGCCACTTCTGTAATAATTACCAAGGGAGCTCTTGAGGCAAGTTCTAAATTTGGGACAAGAAACCCCTTAGGGGAAAGGGGCATGAGTAAGCCATTACCTATCTGTCAATATTAAGTGGATTTTACAACTCTCCTTTCATGAGGGCGCTGAAGCTACGAGCTCTCTCTTAGCCGATCTGTTTTGGATTACGGCAGATCTTTATACAATGAGCTACAAAAACACAATTTAAAAAACTGGCATCCATCACTAGTGACCACGTCCAAAAGTAAGAAAATAGAAAAGTTGGACCCCGAAGAGCCAGCCTAATTTTTATTGTACATGAATGTCCTCTTCACAAAATGTCAGCTGGTTTAAATTCATTCTGTTATGATTTGTAATATCTAAATGGAATTTTCTTCAAAGCGCCCTTGATTGATTGACCCTTAGCTGAACGTTTTGTTTTTATTTTGAGGCTGACAATAATGTTTGTTGGCATGTGTTCTGCTTCAACTGCGTTGGGACGCCATGAAGCTATCTTTATGAGTCATCCAACCACAATACTAAATACATGTCAGCAAAGGAAATATTATCTGAAAAGAGAAAAATCCCTTTGATGTGCTTCACCATGCAGGGATTTGTGCAAGCTTTGGAAGCTCTGGGTGCTTGTAAGGAATGGTGTACGCTTACACATCCCCCACCCCTTTCGGCCTACTCTGTGCCTCAGAAGACCACCCATTGCTCGAAAACAGTTCTGGTCTTTCAGCAGCAAAGTGTGTCATTTGGTTTTAGCACATTCATTTGCCGGGCGCTGTGTTTATACTAAGGGAAGGCAAACCCAGAGATGAAATGTTACAAGGGTGAAGTACAAAGTAGACTCAATTTTTCTCAAGTTAGGAGATGTCAGTGATTTATAACTCAGTTTCAATTTTGATTTTTTTATGCAGCAGTGGAAAAAATTAATAAAATGCACAGCTCCCAGAGGTGCCAAGGCAGGAAGGGCAGTGAGGGCTGGACAAGTGGCTGGAGTTTTTGTCAGATATTCATAGAATGTTGGGGAAAAACGTTTTGCTTAGCTAGCAGTGCCCTCATGAGACAGAATGGCAGTAAGTAAGGAAAATAACAAGATAAATGAAATTTTTGCAGCTGTGAGTAAAATATTGAGAATCTGCACTTTTTTATTGATCTTTATGATCCTATTGCCAAGAGCCACTTTGTGGTGACAAAATATGTTGACAAGTGCATATCTCACTGCCATGAAAAATGTGGAGAAAGGTTCTCCTTGTCTGCAATGTTCTACAAGGAACAAATTACGCTGTTGCAGCCAATTCCTTACAGAAAGGCAAAATTTAAGGCCCACCAACCCTAAGCACTTTTATCTGGAACTTGAGGCTAATATTTGTAACAATCCTTCATTGAGGAAACCAGTCTCAACACCCTCATTCTTCTAAAAATCTGCAGATTTTTCTTAACGGCACTGAAGCTGCTGTTACAAAGGATGCTTATTTCTTGGTATCCTCACTCCATCATCCAGGGTGTAATCTTTCAGCCCAAGTAAAGTGCTCCTCTTGTATTTATTGAATTTCCATCCATTTCACACAAGAGGGCTTTTCTCTTCTCCTACATCAAACTTTAGGGAGGAAAAGGGGAGCAGATAGGAGGGGTTTTTGCTTTCTTGGTCCTTATATCATGAAATTGCTTTATTTTATTATGAATTTGGGAACTCCCAATGCCAAGGTTCCAGAAT